TGTGATACCAACTAATGTTTTGATACAGGTATACATCATACAGTGTTTAAATTGGACTAAGCATATCTATCTTTCATTATCATTTATTTATGGTAAAAACACTTAAAGTCCTTTTTTAGCTTTTAAAAAATGAAGTACCTAATTGTTATCTAGAGCGATCCTACTGTATTTTAGCATAACAGAACTTCTTACTCCTCTCTAGTTATAACTTAGCTATAGAACTTAGTACCTCCTACTCTCCTCTGCCTGTGGTAACTGTCGTTATATTCTCAACACCTATGAGATTAGCTTTTTTGAGTCCACATCTGAATAAGATCATACGGTACTTGTCTTTCTGTGCCTGTCTTATTTCTCTTAACATAATGATCTCCAGTTTATCCATGTTGTTACAAATGACAGGATTTCATTCTTTATGGCGGAATAGTATCCAATGTGTATAAATAGCACACATTCTTTTTTTCCCTTGTACGATAAATTCGCTCTTTTCCTTGTTCTGTTCATTCATTCATCTATACATTCATTCATTCATCAACTGGTGCGTACTTTCCATGGCTTAGCTATTATGAGTAGTGCTGCAATAAACCTGGGAGTGTAGGTGTTTCTTCAGCATGCTGATTTCATTTCCTTTGGATGAATACCTAGTAGCGGGATTGCTGGAGCATATGGAAGTTCTATCTTTGTTCTGTGAGGAACTGCTATGCTATTTTCCATAATAACTAGAATTTACATTTCTAGAATTTACACTCCTATCAGCAGTGGCCAGATACACTGTTTTTTCCACATCCTTGCCAGCACTTGCTCTCTCTTGTCTTTCTGATAGCAGCCATTCTTAGTGGAGTAAGGTGACGGCTCATTATAGTTTTCATTTGCAGAAAGTTTGGTTTCTTATTTTTGGTTACTGTTTCTCTTCGTCTGTGATACAGTACTATTCTAGCAGGAGAGTAGTAATAGCAGGATTAGAAAAGGACTAAAGACAAGAGTAGAAATCAACTAAAAACTCCTTATCTTTGTATTGCAGTCTTTAGCATGGGATCTTCGTGAGATGGTCACACCTTGAATTTTAATGCTTTACGTCTACAAGAGGTCCCTTGGAAACAATCTTCTGGTTTTAATAAGTAGTAGACAAAGGAAGACAATCAAGCATGCATGTAAGAAAATGCTTGGAGACTTTCATGCATACACAACAAATTAGAGGTTTACATCAGTCCATCCCAGTGTTGGGTCCTGCCAGTTACAGTGGAAACTCTTCTATAGCAAGGTCCAGAGATTCAAACCCATTCAAATTCCTAGACATGCACTAGGAGACCAGAACTCTGTAATATTGTACTGAGATCTTTGCTTTGGATTCAGATGCTTGAGGTTAAAACATACAACATCAATCCTGTATAATGCCATGCTGTTAGCTCTCCAGGGCTCAGATTCACACAGTATTGTCAAATCTATAAATTGAGGAAAACCCAGAATTAAAAACAAACAGAACAGAACAGAGCACAGAAAAGAACTCTTGTGATGCCCAAAGGGCTGAGGAGTCCATTCTTTCACTCTCCACAGTACCTTGTAATGATCTGTCCAGGCCCAGGGAAGAGAACTTGGCTGGGTTGTGATGCTTTGCAGCCTGCTTTCCTCAGCCAGCGCAAGGAGGGCTATGGTTTTCCCAGCAAAGGTTGATAGCTCAGCCCCATTACCTTGAAACTCTCTGCATTTGAGCTCTCATGTGCCCCCGGCTGGCTGTGTAATAACACTTAACTTCACATTTGAGTTGTGCTTTATGATGTTCAAAGGGCTCTGCATACATTCCCACTGATTTCTCTTTATGACCCTACGAAGCAGGCATGGAGCCAGAGTGGCAGGGCTGCTGCTGAGCCCAGACCCTCTGAGGGCTTTATATAGGAACCTTGTTGGCCTATGGCTAGAGAAGTGTCCCTCAGAGGAGACAGATGTTGGTTGGGTACCCTGACCTGGCCCCATCTTCTGTGCATGCTTTTCAAGGCAGGGTCCTCAGCAGGGGTCCTGTTTTTTTTTTTTTTTTTAATTTGTTCTCTTTGCCAAGGGACCAGTCACAGCAAGAAGTGGTGGTTGTAGAAGTTAGCTTTTCTTGGCTATCCAACCTAAGTTTTCCACACAATCCTGGAAAGCCAGATCTGCTTGTATGATAGGGGCAGTTCACAATGACAGTACGATTCCAGTTGTGTATGCAATTTAGTGTATAAAGAAATGTTACACATGTAGTTTTGTTTTATTTTCCTAATGGTAGTAGAAATCACAGTGTATAAAGCAATTCACAGCGTATGAAGTGCTTTAACTCCACAATTCTTCATTTCATCCTCTGAAGCATATAAGGTACTATTATTTCCATCTTATAGATTAACCAACTGAGACTCAGAGGAGATAACTGTGTCACTCCAGGTCTCTCTGAGTGAGTGAATGGCAGAGTTAAAAGGGATCTTCGCTTTTAGACTACAAACCCAGGGCTTTTTCACACTATCACAGATGCTTCTTAGGATGGTAGATGTGTCCATCTCTGTTTAGAAAGTTTCAGCAGCCTGAGGCTAAAGGGGCCCAGGGCCTGTCCCCAGTATGCTGGTGGGCCTGGGAGTATCTTTTAGTCATTGGGTCATAGGAGAGGTTTGGGTGCTGGGGTGAAAGGAGAGCCTTTGGGTTTGTTATCCAGTACAGAAGTACAGGTCCACAATCTCTCATCTACAATTTTGAAATTTAAAAAGCTCTGACAAACAGAAGTTTCATAATGAATTTGGGCCCATGAAGAATGAGGCTATTGATAAGGTATCTGTGTTGTATTACCTTTCAAAGATCTGAAATGTTCTGAATTCTAGAACATATCTGGATCCAGGGATTTTAGCTATGGGGTTATGGATGGTATTTCAGTATTTTGCTATATTGATACCAGCCCTGCATGTACTTGTTATGCCAGGTTCTCCAGCACAGGGCACTCATGGGCTTTTCTCTTTGTAAAGCGTTTGTAAATGGAGACGTATATGTGGGCCTTCCACTCTCTCTTCTGTGAACTTCTGCTTAGCAGTGTGTATCTGAAACATTCCAACCCCTACATGTTCTTCAAAACCAGTTACTCCTATTCCTTTCTACTTCCTGTCTTCAAAACTCCCATTAGTGCTTCCGTGTTAAGAGAAAAATAATTGACTGTGCTTTTGGGTAAAGTGAAAAATAACCGACTGACTCTAAATTACACCTGTGTGTAAATGACTAATAGTTACCATCTCCCAAATGAATCTCTAATTGGTGCCACTTTGAGCAGTCTGATTATTTGAAAAGTTTAGATGGAAGATTTTGTGTGGAAGAAAAGATTTGGTTGCATCCTTTCTAAAACTTGTAATTCCCAAGTCATATTCAGTCTTTACCCAGGCCAGCATGCATTGATGCTGGTTTCCTGGGGGATCATGGCCCCATCTTTCTTTGTTGGGACATTACCTGATTTGAAATGCAATATCTTCCTAGCACCTTCTGAGTAAAAGTAGCACCTTCCTACGACCTTCTCTGGTCTTCCTTTCTGTTCCATTCTTGGAAGGGCATTAGACAGGGGAAATGCCCCTTTGCATTTGGGTAGATTGGTGGCAATATCACTGAATTTCATTTTCACAGGTTATTAGCCCTATAGATGGCTGCCTCTGGCCTGATCATCTGTTAGCCCTATAGATGGCTGTCATCTAACAACTTTAGAAGAGTTAGAGTGAATAATCTCAAGTATCATTCCCTGGAAACTACTCAATGATTAATGGAACAAAGACTTAAGGAACAATGGTCCATGCAGATCAATAAATAGATCTAAAATTCCCAAGGAGAGAGTTGATTTATGGAAGAAGGAAAACATATATCACACTCGCCAAATTTAAAATAGCTCTCTTCCCAGAGAATAAATGAAAAATTAATTTCTACACACCATCCTCTGAGTTCACTCAATCAGCTGTTGCATCAATTTTTAAAAAGGTTGAAAAGATCCATAAATTTTATGATTTTTTTTCAGGAAGTATTTTGATTTCTACTCAGTTCTAGAAATGAGGGGTGCTCCAGGGAAAAGGGCAAAGGTCTAAAGGCTGAGCCAGTCTACTTTAATGAAACGCAGAGCATTACCCCCCCGCCTCCCGCCAAAATCTGCCTTTTAGGTTTGTCCCAAGTACAGCCTGGTCCTGCCTGGTTGTCTTTCAGAAAAATCTGTCAATGTCTTGTTGCACATTGTGCAGAATGTTTGACACTTGCAGCCTTTTATCATATTAGCTGTGTAAAAATGCCTGCTCCGGAGCGGGTGTCAGCAATAGTCTATAGATATTAGCATCTTTAGGATCATATCTAATGCTACCAGAAATGGGAAGAAATAATCTTGTTGGTTTGTTTCTGTCACTTTTTCTAAAATCAGATTACTGTTTACTGCTATTCAAAGCAATGAGAAGGAATCAAAACTGATTAAAAGTCTTGTTCAAATTTCTTCCCCTGTTGGAGACACTATTAGTTAACTGTAATTAAGAAAAGTGAATGTATGTGTGTGTGTAAACTATAGGTTCATTTGTGTGTGTCTAAATATGCATATTCATGCTTGTATCTGAGATTCATTTTGTATTTTTACAGAGTGACTTCATGTCCATTATCTTTTCAAATGTGTACAGTAATCCTATAAACCAGTCATTGTCAGTATATTTTAATAAATTATCTGGAAGTTAATTCACTTACTCATGGTCTTACAGCTGTGAGCAAAGATCAGGACCCACTGTAATTCTCATCTAACCCAAATAATCTTTTAAGAAAATTATTATTGAGATCTTACTTCTTAAACTAAGAGTCAAGATGCTTGGTTTTAGATTGGTCCTAATATCTGGAACTGGAAGGATACCAGAGACAATGGAACATACTGTTACTGCAATTACACCCCAGCTGCCTTCATTATTAAACTTTTTATGAGTGTTCTTTTTATGGCTCTTTCAATAAATCTTAAAGATACACAAAAAAGAAAGAGGGTAGGATAACTTCAGTTCAAGTTTTGTCAAAAAAGAATTTATTGCTTGTGATACCATCATCATCATATTATATTACAGGCACTATTTTAAAAAAAATCATGTTCTGCCCTCAATGGGGATAAATTCATGCATTTATACAAGAAACAGTATAAGTTGGAATTATATATACCAGTATAATAAAATGCCACATTGAACCACACAGACTTAAAGCAAATAGAGGTTATTAAATCAAGCACAATTTGTTTTTTGGAGGTTTTTAAAGTTTGATTTTACAAAGAGAATGTCCCCAGTGGGGAAAGGCTCATAAATAAAAACAGAATTTAGAAGCAGATGCTGGTCTAAAACCTCTAAATTCTCTCCTTAGATCATGTTATACTATGAGCAGTCTATAGATATGGAGGGGACTTATTTATTTCTTTATAGAACTGCCTCTATAAGGCTGGAGTTTATAGGGTTCTGTCTTTAATTTAGACCGAAGGTCAGTATGAGAAACAGCCACATGAAATCTATGACTTTGTTTTTCCATTTTATTATTCAGTACTTCTATAAAATTCCAAGTGAAGACTTTCTTTTATAGTTTGTGGTGCAGAAATCTTGCTCTCCTGAGAAGTGGTATTTCTATACTGATAGAACCACAGATCATATTTTCCTTTTTTGCTTCATTGCTAGAAAGCTCAGAGGAACACCCTTGTTCCTTATGATTAGCATATTTACATTTCCCTTTCCTTAGTTTTATACTTTGCTATTTCCATTTTAGGCAGTCACTGGTCACGTATTTTGTTGCAAGCTGCCTCAGGTCCTTTTGGAAGAGAAGCTTGAGTATCAAATTAAAGGGATACGAGTAAAACAGGCAAACTTTCCTCCCAGACAATGTTTCTGATATCTGAGGGTACTGACTACAGGCCTGTAAGTCCCAGTGCTGTGGTACCCACTTCAGGCTGACCCTCCTAGATACTGTAGCTGGAACGGGAGCTACTGAGAGGAGATCAACCAGCACAGGAGGGCTGAAAGGTGACAACCATGATGTCACCTTAAGGGCACTGCCTGGTTAGGCTCTGTGCCTCTGTTTATGAGTTTCCTGCTCAAAGGGAGGTTTCAAGAATGTGCTGCCTGGGAAATCGTAGGGAAAGCACCCCGAAGGGAAACAACTCAAGTAAGGTTGACCGATGAAGGATGATTGCCCTCTCTTTCCACTAAGAGGAGGAAGGTTATATTTGAGCAGTGTTTTCTTTGTCTATGCGCATGACAAGTAAGAGACAGGAAAGAAAAGAGGCCATTTGCAAAGGGAAGTAATCACAAGAAAGGTATTTTCTTTACCATGATCTAAGTATGTTGGAAGCACAATAGCAACTTCCATTTAGGCTGTTAGTGTGGTATGTCTACCCCAGGGGGACTGGCCCTTGTTAAAACTTGAGTTAAGTTCAGTAATTTTTTTTTCCACAAAATACAAAATACTGTAGTACATTGTCTTTATTGTCTGACATTACAGATTAATTTAACACTTTTCCTTTTTTTTACAGATGATGGAAATGAAGGTAAAATGTGTTCAGCATTTTGCAAACATTCTTTGTTACACACAAACACACACAATGAATAATAGAAAGGAGCATACAGAAGAATTAAAAGATATGTTGGAGTCGGACAGGCTGCGGTTCTAATCGATCCATGGAAATGCTGTGAAACTTTTTAATAATGCTACCAAGTGGGATATATTGTCATACACAGTTTGGTACATGCACTGGACAGTAAAGCTGCTTTTCTTTTGCCTCTATGTAATTTATTATTACTATCATTATTATCATTATTATTATTATTTTGAGTATGCTGCTCCCTTTGTTGTTCTGAATATGAGTATATGGGCTAGACACGGGGCATCAGGTTAGGTCATGGGAAGAGAATCACAATGCCCCTAACTCTGGGAAGAAAGTGTACATAATGACCGTAAGAACTCCCAGATCAGAAAGGTTTTGGGGATGAAAAAGGTTGTAAGTTACTTGATTTTTTTAGAGATTATTGTCAACCAACATCTGGGATTCTGCTTTAGGGAAGAACCAAAAAGATGGAAAGTGGACAGTCAGGTACTTAGGATGGTTTTTCACACAATTGAGCACATTCTGATGAGCAGAGGGAGAGAGACAGGGCCTTGTAGTTACTGGATGCTAGGGGATTCTTACAAAGATCCCTTGCCTGATTCTTATAAAAAGAGTTTCCACACTTTTTCAGTGAAACAGAAACCAAACTGAGTATTCATGGAGAGGACATGAAGGTTTGCTTTTGCGTGTTGTAGATTTTAAGATAACATTAACCTCTGTGCAGCTCTAGTGACTGTGTTTTTCTGTTAAGAGAAGGGTTCTGATCAACAACCCAGAAAAGCATAAAACTGATTTGAAACATATACACTAGGGGATCTAGAACATTTCCAACAAATTACAGTTTGTTCCCTCTTCTAAAAGATGTAGTAGTTCTTCTTTTGGTGCAGACAGCAGTGATAATTATAAAAAATGCTAAACTTTATAATCTCAGTTCGAGCACTACATTGAAAAAGAAGCAAATTAGTATAATTTTTTTTTCTTTCCAAACTGAAGCATGAACATACATTAGAGGCAAGAGCAATGAGAAAAACAGCAGGACGGCAGGCCCCTCCACTGTTAGTTAAGACCTGCAGTAGGGGACATAACTTACTCCCTGCTTCAGTTCTTCTTCCTACAGAAAGATCGAATCAATAACAGTTAGATTACTCAGGGTTCCCAGAAGAGCATCTACACAGTGTGAAGGAAGGCAAGATGGAGGAAATGGCAACATAGGTTTGAAGGTAGGTCCAGGCCTCGGCCGCGTCAGGGATTGTACTTCCAAGCCAAGTAGACATTTGGGATTACAGGCCCATTCCTTTCCTCCATGTTTCCAACCATCTCTCAACACGATCTGTCTCTATCCTAGTGTTTGTGCATCTTGGTGCAAAAGCTGTGCTCAGTTGGCCCAGGTTAGTACCAAGATAACAGGTGGTCAGTAGACTACTATCCCAACACTATGGTGACAGCAACTATAGGATCATCAGTACAGGGTATTTCCCAATGTCTCCTGCTATTCAGTGAAGAGTAGGATGGATTCAGACCTCTTTATGTGATGTGTTTGGAGAAGGAAGCAGAAAAGGGCTCTTCTGTCAGATCAAATGAGACAATAGGACAGAAACAGCAGCAGGCTATCAATGTTCTAGTTCTTTCTTACTATAAATAATACAAAACTGCTTGAATACTGTACTTTATGTGTCTAATGCACTGAAACATAAATTTTATTGAGTAGTGATAAAACGTTCTCCAAATAGGAACTGATAACAAAAAAGATGATAAAGGAATAAAACAGTAAAGAAAACAGCAGAAAGAAATGTTACCAGTGTAGTGCTTAAGAACAGAGGATTCAAAAAGTATTTGCTAAAGAAAAACTAAAAACAAGTAGGAATGAAGGAAAAAAGAAAAAAAAAGAAGCAAAGAGGGAAGAAAGAAGGAAACAAAGAAGGGAAGGGGAGGGGAAAATAAAGAAGGACAGTACAGAAAGGACCAGAGAGAGTGTTGGGCATACTGTAAGGGGTATCTATGAATTAAAAGTCAGGACATCTTGTCTCACAGTGAGCTACCTAGGGACATTCCCATCATTCTTCTTCTATCAGAAGCTCTAATTCCTGTCTTCGTGGCAGTTCTATTCCTGTTTTTTTTTTTGGTTTTTCTCCGGTACCGGGAACTGAACTCACAACCTTGCGCTTGCCAGGCAGGCGCTTTTGCCGCTGAGCTAAATCTCCAGCCCCACGTGGCAGTTCTATTCCATTCTGATTCATCCTTGTTCGTCTTGGGCAGGGTAACCACAGAGCAGAGAAAATTCTACAGGCCAACTGTGGACATGTGGCCATATTTCATCTACTTTCACTAAAGTAATTTAGTGGTGATGATGAAGGAAATAATGCTTCACTGATGGAGGAATGCCACTTCCAATGTGAATAATAGATTATAGCACTCTATAAAGGACTACTGTAGACCACCTTATTAAATAGTCTACCTACAAAAGAGTAAGGAAATATTCCCATTTACAGTTTACATTTGAAATCAGTATAAGTCATGTAACTTGTTATAACCATACAAATGGGGCAAAATACTGAAATTAACGAATATCGTTCTTGCTTAGTGGCTATTTCTTAATTTTCTGAATTAGACATTAGCCTCTGTTCAACTTAATCAGAACTGTTGAAATCGATCTCATACAAGACACTTCTAAATATAGTTTTATAATTTTCAAGGACATAACAGTCAAGAACTAGAAATAGTTGAAGAGGTTGCTCTACGAAGGTCATTTGCAATTTGGTGCCAGCAAATGGATCAGAATGAGCTCTGTAATTGGCTGCTACTGTTTCATGGGTCCAAGAAATAGTTCCATATTTGAGTTGGCAACATTTTGGGGGAAATCACATATAGTTACAGTACTGGTAAAGCCATCACACATTATATGCAGAAAGAATTATAAATGTCATAGTTGTAGGTTTGAGAAGTATTTATTTGGTATGTCTTACCTTTAGGAGCTTCATGAGACCTTCTAACTGGACCATTAGCTCTCTCCGGCTCTCCTGGAGAGCAGACATCCTCTGTTCCAGCTCATCCTTGCGTTGTCTAAGAGAGAAGCAGTTGTCATCAGAAACAGCATTTAACTCACTGAGATAATCACATTTCTAATCCTGTAGGACTAGTGGACTTTCTGAAAAAAGGCAGCTCTAGCTTTTTTGATATGGTTACCAGGCAGGTAATTGTCTCCAAATGAATGAACAATTTCCTCTTACATGGACTTTTTTTGCTAGAAGTCTTATTAAATTTAAGCAGAATTAAAATTATGTCTTACATTCTCATCCTCCTACCCTGAATTAATGAATAATTTGATAAAATATTTTCTGAATATTTATTATACAGCAGGCCCTGTTCTGTGCCATTGGCTTTCTTTGAGGCAATGAACAAACATTGTCACCATCAAAGGCCAACCCTCCAAATCCTCCAAATCTAAGGCACCTTTTGTGAATTCATGAAAAATACAGTTTACCTTAGTACATGAAGCCTGGTGTAGAGATGTATGGTTTTAATCTGTTCCATCCTCATTAAGCAATATGGCACCTTACTGAACTATTAATGGTATATACTTGCTATAATCCACGTAAATTATTTGGTTTGGGTTTGATTTCATAATTTCAGAATAAAGGGTTTCCTACATAATTGTTCTATAACTGAAAGCGTTATATGAAATTTGTGTTTGTTTAATTTTATTTTGCTTTGCCGAACTTTTATTAAACTGTCAGCAAGAATGGAAACCCCTCAGGCTCAAGTACACTCTATCATTTATGTTGACATTAAGAAGTACCAAAAATCTTTAAAAGGGGACAGAATTGAAACAGTGTGGAGAGAAATATCACTAGGCCACATTTGTGAAGTCCCGTACACTTGCAAATCACTTTCAAGTCCATTATTTCATCGTTAGTTGCAAATATGTAATGCACACAGTTTTTACTTGCCCCACAGGCTTCTGTTTGAAGTCTGAATATTAGAACTTACACTTTAAAATGCGAGGATGCCTTAGCCATGCGCATTAATGCATGAATGCATACAGCTAGTCTCAGTGGCTCAGACACCATACGAAGGGGAGCTATAGCAGGGACTATGAAATGAAAAACTGACAAAATAAAAATGCCACCCTGAGTTAGGTCCATGACTCATTCTGTTGAAAGAGGTCTACAGGAAGACAGGCCACGGGTATGAATGAGACATTTCTGGTTTGGTTTCTTATAGGCTGGCTCAATGATAAATTACAAATTTAAAATTTATAAATATCTAAATCCTTTCAGAATATATTTACATTTTCACTACTTACAGCTTACTCTTGGGCCAATTTTTCTTTAATTTGCTTTACAACTGCCTCTTTTCTGAATCCAGAGAATGAGGAACATCATAATTTAAAGCTTTTCATGGTATCTTATTTTAGTCTTTGTCTCCTTGGGCTGAAGCATTCTAATTTTGTAAGTCTTGCCCCATTCAAAAATATTACTCAATGACAAATCCTTAGCTATTTATCTTCAACTCATGGTGTCCCAAGTACATCCACCATAGGACTTGGGATAAAAGTGAATAATGTTTCTTATGTATTTCTAGCTTTTTTCTTAATGCTGCTATATAATTTTTGGCCTTTGGGTCACAGGAGCACTTTGAGAAGTAGATCAAAGCCAAATCCTAATATTGTAAATAATAAATACTAATGGGCATTTAAAGTATATTAGAAAGAGGTAACTAGCATTAATTCAGTATTAGTCAATTAAAACAGTCTTGACCCTACTGTACATTTATTTTATAGTAGTAATCTCTTAAAAATGACACTGAATTCAATTAAAATTATTTAATAATGCCTTTTCTGTGTTCTTTCTTACCTATTAGAGTTTGTCAAATATGGACCCACTAACAAATATGTGGTATAGGGTCCACCATTCCAAGGAAGTATAGAAAATAAAGAGTAAATACTGATTTTATTTTCCTATAGGTAAGTGTATGCAGCTGTAAAGGAATACCTTTCAGTCTGAAGTTCTATTGGATTATTTCTAATTTGGTATGTGTGTTAAAATCTACTTTCTTTTAGGCTAGTGTTGTGATAAATGGCAATATTTTCATACAAGTTACATATGAAAATAATGTATATCCATACTAATTTCCCGACTTTGAAGATGGTACCATGGTTATATAAGAGATTTTGTTCTTAGAAAATATACACATAAGTACTGAAGGATAATAGGTTATAATGCCTGCAACTTTTTAAAACTTCTATGAATTCCAGTTTCCTTAGTTATAAAAGAAGTATAATAATAGTGTCTATCTCCTAGGTCTGTTATAGCAATTATATGGCACAACATATGTAGAGCTTATTGTGTAATAAGTGTCAAAGTAGAACACAGAAATGCCTATTATATAACCATATCTGGGCTGCAAACATGGCCTTCCGTTTCCTTGTGGCTAAAGTAAAAAAAGGAAACATACCCATTTAGAAAGGTCATAGAGATTTTAAGATAAAAATAAAACTATGCATTCATGAAAAGCAAGGTCCCAATGTGTTCTCGCTGTCTCTTACACCCAGGTGAAAAAATTTCTCTTATTGGTAAGAGGCAGTTAGGCAGGATGTAATGGGGACCTCTGTGACAGCTACAGTCAGGAGCTCTTATGCTTGGTTCATGGATTGATGCCCTGTGAACCAAGGCCAAAGTCACTTTGTAAGGAGCCACTGTTTGGGATCTGTATGAAAGTCTGAAATATACCCAGAACAGGGTGGTTTAATCAGCATATCTACGAAATTTCCTACTGTGAAAGTGCTTAGCATAGAATAAGTGGTTTATAAGTATCTAGAAGTAGCCTTCAAGGGACAGTGGTTCTTCTTCCCTTAAGTGGAAAAAATGTATAGAATATGGAAGGAGGCAAGCAAATCAGCTGGGCCATCTGATGACAGGGAGGGTCAAAGGCACAGAAGTTCCTGGCAAATCTGAGCTTTGGGCTCAGCTGTGGGCAAAGGTGCAAGAATTTCTAGTACAACTCATTGAGGATAGGACAGAAACCACACAAGTTGAGAAGGAAGAATTTTTGTTCCATTAAATTATTGTATTATTCAAAAGTATGAAGCGACCTCTTCACAATAATCAGCCTGTATAAGTTGCAGTTTCCACAGATCTCCTTTCCACATGTGAAGCATCTGACAGGTCTGCCTCAGTCCTGCGTGTGGAATAGGCACAGTGGATCGCAGCCTGAGAGCAGCCAGGGCCAGTGCTCTGGGCCAGGTGGTGCCCAGGTGTTAATATATCTGAAGAGTAGGGCTGGGATGGAACCCCTAGAAGCAAGCATGCCTGCAACCAATAGAGACTTGGTAAAATCCAAATGAGCCACGTAGAACCTGCTTAAGTGAGTCTCTTGTACAGTGACACTAGTTCTGATAATGGCTTCAGAGAAAAGGCATCGGTATGTACTACACAAAGTGTGATTCAGAGTTATAGATATACAGTACCTGGAATGTACTGGACACTCAATTGAAATAGGAAATATAATTCTTGATAATTAAAAGTGCTTTGTGAGATTGCTGTAAGGGAATGGTGTTGAATTTATTTTTGTGTTGCTTGCTATACAAATACAGTTGAGCACCTGCCATATTCAAGTTATGGGGTTTCGGGAACCTACAGTAACACCTACACTTTGCAACATGGGAGTAGTGGGGAAATTACAGTGGGATACTTTCTAGGTTTCTGACTCTGAAGCATGCACTGAAATTCAGGAGTAGATTCAGATGACGTTTGACTCCTTCAACTCAAATGTTCTATGATCACAAACTAGATAGAATGAACCTTTTTTGTACATTTGCAGAATAAAGAGGTCTGACTTCTATTTTTAAAGTCCTGTATGTAAAGTTACTAGGGATCAAGGTTTAGGGAAAGGTAGATTCCCTTTTGTTTGTTTGTTTGTTTGTTTTTTGTTTTTTTCTGGTACCAGGAATCCAACTCGCGACCTCACGCTTGCAAGGCAGGCGCTGTGCCGCTGAGCTAAATCCCCAGCCCCTGGTAGATTCCCTTTTATGGGTTACATGTACACTTGAGAATTTAGAAATGTACAGCAGTTGGTTAGCTGTTTGTGAGCCTGTTTTGCGGAGCATTTGTGACGTAAGCACATTGTTGATAATGCAGACAACTAAAAGGAGCTGAGTTAAATTTTTTTCAACAGAGATCGTTTCTGATCTGAAGAATATTGTTGCCTTTTCTGTGCATCTAATAAATGAATAAAATATAAACTTTTCTTCAAATTGCCCAAATTTCAACAATTAGGTGTATGCTATTAAAAAACAGACAAATATCAGCAGTTGTAGTGGCTAAGCACCGTTTCCTGGCTCGTCACATCTAGCCTGTGTGAAAGACCTCAAAGGTCCGTCTGTATCCCTGAGATGATCTGCGCACCTCTTCTTACCTGAGGAGCCGGAGCTCTGCCAGCAGGGTAGGGTTTTGCTGTGCCTTTTCTGGCGTGGGCTGAGAAGCTTGCTCGTGCTCTAGCCGCAGTCTCTGGATCTCCTGTAAGATTTCTCTTGGGAGAGAGGAGAAAGGTGAGAGACTAGGGTCAGCGGACTTCTGGGACAGTAACATCCGAGCGAGTCTGACCCCCAGAACAAGGAGAGAAGGGAACATCCTGGGTGTAGAATTTAGAAACTGACCTTTGCTAACCAACAGACTGTGCTTTTGAGGCTGTGGCTGTAGGTGGCTAGGTGCTGTGGGTGAGGGACAGGCCGCTTCATCTTCAGCCCATGCAAACCACAAAGGCACTGCAGAATGTCACTGAGTATTAACGCCAGGACCTACTCATCCTCCAGTAAGCATGTAGTGCTGTGATAAATGTGTCCAACTTTGATGAATGTATTGCTTAAGAGACAAAATGTATCATCCTATTATTTATGATCACACCCTGACACCATAAAGTACCCACAGCCACCAAGTAAGAGGTGCTTAAGGGGAAAATAAGACCAAATGGTGCTCATTTCACAAGACTAAATAACCTCTTTCTCTCACCAAGAATGAAATTCTTCTCATTGAATTTATCTGAGAATCCTTCAGTTAGGCAGAATTCTTTCTCTTTTTTCTTATTACTTTTCGGCCTTAACAATGGACCTCAAGGAAGGCATCCTTAGAAAGAAAGTGCTTTTAAAAGGATTGACTGTAATTGAGTCTGTGACATAGAATGCTATTCTGTGACCTCTTCATGGGGTGAGACATGTCAACCTATTATTGATGTGGGGGTTTGGGTTGCCCTGCATGTGGGTGAACATCAGCCTGGCCATAAATGATATGTGACCAGCACAAGGCAAATTATCCCTAAGTGAATGAGAAACCATTAATCAAGGTTATAAGTCACGTATTCTTGGGGGTTGTGGGTATCTACTCAAGAAAATGCACAAGACAGAACAAAGCATGAGAATAGGAAGTAAGCTGGGTGAGCAAGGGAGATAGTTTTCCACTAAAATGCTTTTACTTGGTACACAGTGATTGTACATCTTTATAGTGTACAATACTGCAATTTGATACATGTACACACCACGTAATGATCAAATCAGGATAATTAGCATTTCTTTGGGTTGGGAACCTTTAAACTCTCAGTTGGAATAACTGGTACCAAAGTACATTTAGTAGGGGGTAAGTTCTTGTGTTCTAGGTAGCACATTAGGAGGACAAATACAATTTACAATAATTTACTATATATTTCACAATCTCAGAAAGAAAGGAGTTTGGTGGTTTTGCATTGCAAATGCTGATTTATAGCTGCCTGCTTCACAAACAGGGGAATCAGAAGCATAATTACCATGAATATTACATCTTCCACAGGTATAGGGAGAAGTCTGAACTATAAGTAGGTGGTTTTCAGTCTTCTTTTGTGGGGGGAGCTCCTTAATGTTCCAGGGTGGAAATCCTTCTTTAAAAGGAATCACCCATGGAAACCCATCTCCCCTGTCAGGCAGTGAAGGTGGAGCTTCTGTAATTAAAGAAAGGGGACCCTATGCTGCACCTCAGGTGCTTCTGCGGGGTTCCCATGTTAGCAGAGAGCTCAGCTTGGAAATAAGAGAGCTGTGGTTTCCACGATTTCCTCTAGTGCTAGCACCCTGACATTTTATGTCTCCAGTCATTTCTCCTTGTGGGTTTCAGAGAACATGACAGAGCCACTTAGCCTAAGAGAGGAAAAGAGAGAAGCACTTCTGGTAAGAAAAAAATAACGGAAAGGTACATAATGTACACTGGTAGAAGTGTGCTGTCTCCTTTAATTTTATTTATTTCTATAACACTTTTATGATATGAAGATACTCCTGTTGTCTCTATTTCATGAATGGTGAAATCAAGGCACACTTTAGTTAAAACACTTGCTCAAGTTCAGTAACAAGTAGGTGATTTGAACTCAGATTAGGTAGCTCAAAGTCCTGTGTATCAGACTGCTTCAGTTTCTGGTATGTGCTTTGACTAGTTCAGCGTAGGAAGGCCATGACTAAGACAGTGTAATGTGGAGAGTCCTGTGACTCCTAACACAAACCCCATCTGGCTTCTGAAGGGTGTTGTAAGGAAACACTGTCTCCTAAAGATTGTCACTGACATGTTGCTAGAGTTGGGATCTGTGCGTCCCCCAAAAGCCCACTTGGGAGCCAGCGTGTAGTGCTATTAGAAGGTAATGGGACTTTTAGGAGGTGCAGCCCAGTGGAAGCATGTGAGGTCACGGGAGGCACGCCCTTGAAGGGGTCTCAGTTCTCTGTTTCCTCTCTTACTTTCCACTTCTTGCTTGCCATCAGGTGAATAGACCTCCTCTCTTATGCACTGTGCTGTGATGTACCATACTACCTTATTCCCATCCCCAGCCCCTGACTTTCCTCGTATATGATATCAGGACAGATGGATATCAGAAAAAAAAGAACAACAAAGTGAAAGAAAAGAGGGTCACTGGTGAAATCCAGTAGAAAGTCTGGAATCCCTATGAGAAAATTTAGAAAGGAATAATGGAGACTGTCATAAAATAACACTCCAGAAATATTTATTCTTTTGTCCAGCATCTCCTGTTTTGTTTCATTTAATCCTATTTCTGGTCTGATCTCTTTAACATAGGTCCTCATCACTTCCCACCAGCTTCTAGTTAAGTCTTTATAGAAGCAATGTGCAGATTTAATATGCTGATTATTTTACCATAAATGTGCAGACATTGGGTCCCTTACCTGACTACTTCTGTCCACGATGAAAGGGTAAAATTCAAATTCTCTGGCCTAGTATAAAGCCTTGTATATTGATGAACCCATTTTACTTTTCATCTCAACCCACTAGGTATTTGCCTAGCAAGTGTCTTCATGACTTTTCCCAAAGTCTGTGTGTAATTGTATCTGTAACTCTGTCTTCCACTGCCTAATTTCACTGTCTTGAAATGTTCAGTTAAAACTCCACTTTCTCCATAAACTTTATCTGACACAACCTAGAGCATAATAGTGGTGAAGTGAGTTGTTTGCAGGGGGAAAAGGATGGAAATGACACTTCAACTTTTACTCTTCATCTGTACAGTGATGATGATAACAGTCACCCTGCCCACTTCAAAGAGTTGTTCCAAAGATGAAACAAAACAATGAGCAGTTGTATGAGTGCTTCATAAATATGTGATTGTCATTACCATCCCCCCAACACCTCAGAAGAAAAACCCAGGTTTCCTCTGCCACTTGGATGCTAGAGTTATGTGTTATTAATCTGAGCTTTGGACCTTTCCCCATTGGACAGTTCTTTGCTGGTTAGAGTCACAGAACATGGAATCACAGTTGTACGTTTTAGAGAAAAGAGACTGAGGGCTGGAGAAGAGGATGTGGGACGGTTACTGTGAGAAGTTCTAAATGAAAGGACTATCCAGAAAGGCAACTCCTTATCCAGAAAGAGGCCTCTACTTGGGCATAGTTCAATCAGGCTTCCAGCTGGCAAAACACTCCAGTTCTAGATAAGATAATGGATTTTTCCTCATCCTTTCCCCCTTTCTTCTTTAGCTCCTTCTTTTGACTATGACAGGACACTCACTGATGTACTTACATCTATTAATTCTGACTGAGTACTTCTGAGTAACCTTTTATACTGCATATTATAGGTGTACTTGGTTGACTAAACAGAGAAAAACCCTACTGCCGACATTCTAATTCTAATATTTGCTAAGGTTTTGTTCTAAAGGAGTTGAAACTGTGGATTAAATCAAGAATTTAAAGCTGGCCAATTTTCCTTTTCATTTTCTCTCTTTCCATGCCTTTTCTGGCACCCGGATTGATGTAAAGCATCGAGACCACATTTGAGAGTGTCACCTCTCTTTTCCTACTTCCTACAGCCATTAATAGTCAAAGAGCCTTCCAGGGACCTAAGAGTCCAGTGGTTCTTGCACATTATTCATTTCAAATGCTCAGGCTGGCTGACTCTGATTCCATTTCACTGGCTCTGGAACTGCCCTGTCTTTGAACTGTTTCTCCTACTAGATTTTAAATGTCTTTGCTCATTTGAAATTGCTCCCTTCCCTCAGCACCTTTCTTACCTTAGCATGATTATTTTCACTCCATGGATACAATAAATGTTCTATAAAATAGAATCAGCAGTTTCATGGACTTGCCACTGTCCAGAACAAATTTCAGTCTGTATGGCTGTTTTTGAGCTACTTCTTCCCCATGTTTCCACTTTCTGCCTGCTCACTTCTTGCTGCTTACTACTTTGCACATTGAGAGGGATCACATATGACACATTTTTTTTTAGAATGGTAGTTTTAGAGACTATGAAGTAATGAGGTCACATTTATTAAGCTACTTTAATTATAATTTGTGTCCTCCTAATGACTGGAGCCAGGTTTTAGGACAATGAAGTCAAAAGTCATTTTACTAGAAAAAATATGAAAATGTGTCAATAGAGTTGACACTTTCCTTTTAATAAAACTTTAAAGCATGTTTTGATAATTTATCCCAAGTTCTCAGGTTAAGCTCTAGAGATATGAAGTAGTTATCATACCATTTTCCTTTACTGCTACAATCTTGAAAATGATAGCAGTGTTTAAGAATTGGCTTAAATATTTAGACATTGGTGCCATGCCTAGAAATATAAAATGTAAAAGTTGTTCCTCTGATGGGCTTACACAAGACTGAGTTTGAGACCTGACTCAATTATTCATTACTTTATCACGCAGCATATACTTAATGAGTATTTGCAATATTGCAGGCATGGTTCTGGGATCCAGAGGGTATTTGGAATGGCCTTTGTTTTTGAAGAATTCCCATTTTAAGTCAAGGAAGACAAACAGTAGACAAGAAAGCAAACACCAACATAGAGTAATTTCACATAGGGATAGGTAGCACGCACACACATGCACACACGCACACACACGCATGCACGTACACATACATGGGACCTAATAGTCGCTGGGCTAGGAAGTAGTGGGCAAGATTAGACGCAAGGTTTTTATGAAGTGACACTAAACTGAGACTTGGTTGATGAGGAACCATCCTACAGGAAGAGCTCTCTGGGTTTAAAAGAATGACCAGAGCAAAGAGTGTAAGGCAGGATGAAGGCAGGATGCAGCCACATGAGGATGGAGTGTGATGAGCAAGCAGAGCTGTGGCTGACAGGCAGGCAGTCAGCAGGAGAGGAAGGAGCTTGCAGATCATGGTGGTATGAGTGGATTCGAATCAAAGTGTAATGGAAATTCATCATAAGATTTTCATAAGTAACATGATACGATTTGTTTTAAAAAATGACAGGTTGGACTGGGAGTTGGTGGTAGAGATGCGGGGGACAGGTTTTGGGTATGCTATGGAAACAGAATCAATCTGTTGAATAGAGAAAGGACCCGCTGATGAAGTGAACATGGAGATGTTGTGTTGAACAACTGGGTGATGATGTTGTTGCTCCAAGTGCCTCTTATAAGAAGCCTCTCAGATAAGCCCCCTGGTTGTCTCTAGGTGGCAAACACTGCCTAGTGCCCCAGAAGGACCTACTTGTTCTGTAGCTTGTTATAAAAATAAATGTGCCAAAAAAGGGAAACAAGCCTGTCTGGAGGACAGTCATGCACAGTTTCTTTAAATGGAGTTTTTATAGATTTTAAAGAGCCAAGATCAACTTTCCAGAAGCCCACATTGATGACTCTAGATGTCTTCTTGTAAATATGTTTATAGAGTGAAAATCTTGGAGAATTTAAAGCACAGCTTTAGGTTACTGATGAACACACGCATTGATGAAAAAAGCCAACACGTCTACAAAGCCTTACCTGTTCTTGTTTTCTAGTTCTGCAATCAGCTGCCTTTGTTGCTTATTTGCATCAATGGTGAAGGAGATGTCAGGAGCGCTTCTCTGCTGAGTTGGCTGCTGTAAAATATGCAGTTTACATGATTTAACATGAGGCCTGTGAACACACATGTGTTTGGAAAGACAGGAGTCATTAGATACACAAACAAGAAAGAGGAAACTATTTCCAGCAAAATAAAAGAGGGAAAACACATAAAATCAGACTGTTATGTCTTTCAGAAGAACCATTGCAGATCTAAAACACACCTATGAAATGGAAAACAGAACAGAATTCTTTGGGAAATACATAAGACATAAGACATGGGAAAAATTGCCTTTCAGCTTTCTGATTTGAAGTTTTGGAAAGCTATTTCATTCTTACAGTGCTTTCCCCATTGCAATTATTCTCTCAGTGTAGGTGGGTTTAAAACTGTTATGCTGTTGAGATGGTTCTTCCTGTAGAATTACTGTTTAATCATTTAAAAAATTAATAGTACATGTTTGCAGTACATAATATTTGTAATTATCGTGGGGAATTGGTACATGTCATAATACATCTTAATTCTTTTTCCTCTCTATATTTTTGTTTTTTATTCTCTAATATCCCCTCTCTTCCTACTTCTTCCATCATTTTTATAGTATATTTCAAAACAGCTAGAGGAGAGGATATGAATTCTTCCTACCACATAGAAGTGATAAATGTTTGAGATGATGGATATGCTAATTACTCTGATCTAATTATTATAATTGCATACATGTATTAAAATATCAGCTGCACTACTGAATTTGTTGATTAATTCTAGGAGTCTTTTGGTAGAGATTTTGTCTGAAATTCTGTATTGCTTTTATTGTATTTGTGTTGTTTTGTTTATGTCTCTATGTTTGTTAATATGTTTTCATTCTTTTATCTTTAAAATAAGAAAATCATACTGTACCCCATAAATATGAATAATTATATATCAATTTTTAAAAAGAAAAATGAAAAATAAATTTGTGATGAAAAATTTCATAGTATTAAATGTCAGTTAAGAAGATTATTTTTCTTTTGGTTGGCGCAGTTTTATGCACTTCTTTATTCATATGCCTCATTTTACTCTAATGGCTTCATACGTACTTGCTTCTTCTACATACATACCATTGCAAACCACTATCCTCAGGTGTGAAACTAGCTTTATTAACTGATATACATGGAGAACAGATTTCTCCATTCTCATACACATATAAATCATATCATATAATGTTTGCACATGTGTATTTATTTAAAGGCTTATTTGGCATTGCTTTATAAAATGAGACCAAGTCAGGTAAACCTCACTGTATCTTCCTCTTTTTCTTTTTTTGCTCTATAGTACATTAATGTTACTTAATGCTCTATAGTACATTAATTATAGTACATTTTTGCTCTATAGTACAGAAATTCCTCCAAGTCATTTTTTATTATTTTAAAAATCACAAATTTTTAACCAAAGAATGTAAAACTTTTAAAAATGTCACCTTTGCAGAAGCCAAAAGACATGGAAATGCTCAGCCTAATTTTTAATGTCCAGGTATCTAACTGTAGGAAAGGCTCAGATTGGTAAAGGTCTGACTTTCAAAAACATTCTTCTATGATTTTTGTTTTGTGTTTTTTTTTTGACAAGTAAATAACTCATGTTGCTGATGAAGAATTTTGAGGTTCTGTGTTCTACATGTTAATTGGCTTTCAGTAGCTAAGTTTGGCACATGGCAGCTTTGACCTGTGATCCACATTTTCCTCGTAATTTCACTATACAAATTTCTTTTTCTTGCATATGTTTTGTGTATGGATAAAGGACTGTTGGTTTCAGGAATTGCTTTTGTCTTTATAGTAATTGATCAGGACTTACCTCCCTCAAAATCATGCAATGAGTGAGCCCAGCAATATTATAACTAGACTACCGTAAGCTATGATTTTGCTATACTGGAAAAGGAACTACAAAGGGAATGTATGTAAGGAGACCAAAGAGAAGCAACAGCTATTCAGCTCTGTTACTGTAGCATGGAAATAGCTATACATAATTTGTAAGCAAGTGAGGTGATAGTATTTTAATCATTTTATTTATGGACATTGAAATTTAAATTTCATGCAACTTTCTCTTGTCACATAATATGATTCTTCTTTTGATTTCAACAGTAAAAATGTAGAAATTATTTTTAGCTTATATTGTATAAAAATGGATTGGATTTGGCTCAAGTAGTATATTGATCTATCAAGGGTTAAGAAATCTCTTTTTATTTTATTTTTAAATCAATAGATAGCAGCCAACACAGGGAAAAAACAATATCAAGCCATAAATAATAAGAAACAATATCTTTCTTTGAAGATTAAAAATATATAACATTTAATTTATTTGCTTTTAAAAGTCAGAACTAAGAATTTCAAGTAGTCAATAAATATAAGAAATAATAAATGGTAGGTTAGTTCTATAGAATAGATCTTATTGTGAAAATAATAAAAGGAGGAACAATAAGGGATTTGGAATAGAGAAGGAAAGAAAAATAGGCAGACTAAGACAGGCAAAAGATAGAGACAGAGAAAGAAAAGAAAGGGAAAGGGTGATATTAATTCTTGCTGTGTCCGTGTACTTTGGACATGTAATTACATTTAACCTCTTTAACTGATAGCATAGAGAGAACTAGAGATAGAAAAGACACAGAGAGAGGAAAACAGATTTTCAGAAGAGAATTCATAAGAGATAAGATTACCACCGTTGAAACATATCATATGGGTTCTTTATCTCTCCACCCAAGGCCCCATGGCTAGGAAGGGACATAGTTATACAGAAGGCATCGAGAAACATTCAAAACCCTTCATTTTTGTGCAGCCACATCTCAATTTGTAACCATCAAGAAATCCAAGACTACATCCTTATATGGCTTTTGAAGCCGATTACATTTTAATAACTATAGGCTATGGAAATGTCCCATATTCTTTTGAAGACCAGATGTGGGTTTCTGACTAATCATATTCTAATTTGATTGGTTAAAATTTTCACCAAATTCATTGGTTGTTTTACTGTCTCGTAGGAAGCATTTCAGACTCAAGGTTTGAACTTGGGGGCATTTTACTATTCTTACTTAGATGAAATTTCCTTAAGTTTTAGACTGCCTCAGCACATATTTAAATGGATTCATTCTTTTTTTTTTCTTTTTCCTTTGGTACCAGGAATCAAACTCAAGACCTTATGCTTGCCAGGCAGGCACTTGTGCTGCTGAGCTATATTCCCAGCCCTAAATTGATTCATTCTTTTATGCAACACATTTAAAAAAATTCACCACCTACTATATAACAGATACTATGGCAGGTGTCCTGTAAAAATATGCTTCCTGTTCTCAAAAGACAGATAAATGTGACTTGTATGTTCATTACTATGGACGAAGTAGGTATACAATTCAAAAGAAGCACAGAGGAAACATGGCCACATTATAAAGTCAAGGAAGGAACATTAAGGAGATGGAACTAAGCTACCTTGTTAAATGAGGTGGAGAAGTAATGTGTTAGATGAGTAGATTCCAGATTTTTGCATAGTATAGTTGGAATAGCTAATCCATAGGGTATAGAGTTGTGGTGGACAGAAAGGTAAGATCCGATAGGAAACAGAATAGACCCAAGAGAAGACCGCAGTGAAGAAAGATGTAGGGCTTTCCCTTAGAAACTGGTCCAAGTAAAAGATCTATCTCCTTTCTAGCCTGGTGACATCTTCTGATGATTTAATTAACCAATAATAACATTCCTAGAATGTGATTATGAAGAGATTGATAGAGGAACACGAACTAATATGAGGACATCTTTTCTGAGATGGATTTACAAAGGTTATTATAGGACATAAACAGGCAATGAATACAAGTAACTTATGTTCTCGAGAAAGGAAAGGAACTGAGGCTGCAGAAGGTAATGTGCTCCACTAGGGATCACTGATCCGGATGTTGACTAGAGCCAGGAAGATGACCTAAATAAAAGAGGGAGACCAAGGGTAGGGATTGTGGGTAAACGGTGACTGCTCGCCCTATCCAAAGACAGCAGAAGAATTCTCCTCCAGCTGCATGCAGCCATGAATAACATGGATCTTGTTAGTCTTTCAAGATAAGCTGGAAATCTAGAATTTTAAGGTAAATGATCTGATTTGTAAATACTATACCTGATTTTTAGGCCATACAGTACAGTTTTGGCCTGACTGGTTCCTTTCCATCCAGATTGCGGTAGTTTCTAATGTTACAGTCCCTCTTGTCAGAGAACAATGCATCATGGTTCCCCTTTGGGATCATTAGTTAAATGCCTGGCATGATGGGCTCTAATAAAGGTGACATTCCAGGTGAGAGGGGAGGGAACAGCTTCCCCATCTGAGCTCCTGCCATTCAACTCATTGTCTTTTGTGATGCATCAGTCACCACTCACCCTCACTAGTGACTATTCTACCCTAGATCCAATATCTTTGCTAATCACATATGACTTAAACCTATGAGAACTCACAACCAGTTGTCATCCCTTTCGTTAGGTTCCTCATATAGGGACAAAACTGGGTAAAGTGGGGCAGGGAGCTTCTATTTCGACTGCAGTGTCACATTGCCATAGATCTTTTGCTCCTCAAGTGTGCTACTTTCAAACTGGGAATTCACTACCAAGGTGACATAAGTATAGCAACAAACACATGAACAATAAACAAGCACAAACTGACTTGCTAATTAGTATCAGCTATCAAGATAACAATGGACATGACAGATGAAATTCAAGGATGAAATATGCCCAGGGATGAGTACTTTCACTCAAAGTACTTACAGACGAGGAGGATTCTGCTGCCAATCTTGCTGCATACCTGGCGATCAGTCTGTGCTCTTCATCAAGACGGTTTGAACTCTCAAGCATACTGTTGAGAACCAAGAAAGGAGATTAGCAATAGGAGAGATGGATACATGCATATCGTTGTTGGGGGATTTCAATGCCAAAAATTTGCAAGCCATATGAAGTCCTGTTAAGTTAATGATCTCCAGCTTGGATTCATGACATGACCTAAACTGTGGCCAGGAAGGTCAATAAGAAATCCTGTGTGCTGTCAGTTCAATAATCTTACTAAAAGACCTCCAACAGGAAGTGACTTTTCTGGGATATGAATACCTCATTTTAAATGTAATTGCCTTTAATATTTTCATTTCCTTATTACACAAGTAATGCATGTTCAAAATCAGTGTTAGACAATATGGAAGCAAGCGGAAAGGCAAAAACTAACTGTATTTATCTTCTAGTAATCTCTACTTGCTGGCATTCACATCCTTATATACAATAATTCTTCCTTTTCATAATGGACTGGACTTACTCACTTTCAGTGAGTAGAATATGGAATATTACTTCCAAAACCAGGTTAAAAAGATCATGCCTTTCATGTTGGACTTTCTTTACCTTGCTCTTTCTTGGGTGGTTTGCCCTGTGGGATGCTAGTTGTCATGTTATAAAGCAGCCCCGTGGCTAGGTCTCTATGCCACTGACAACCATGTGAATGGATCTCCACTGGCAGAGTCATCAGATGACGCTAGGACTGGAGCCAAGCTTGATTGAAACCTCATGAAAATCCCTGAGCCAGAGGCATCTCACTAAGCCAAACCCACATTCATCCACAGAACTGTGAGATAATAAATGTCTATTGGAAACTCACTGAGAGAGAAATTAGGGAAACCACACCCTTCACAATAGCTTCCAAAAAAATTGAAATACTTAGGAATCAATCTAATGAAGGAAGTAAAGGATCTATATATTGAAATTAAAGTACTCTGAAAAAGTAGATTGAAGAGGGTATCCGAAAATGGAAAGATATCCCTTGCTCATGGATAGGAAGAACCAACATAGTGAAAATGGCCATACCCCCAAAATTGTTATACAGATTTAATTCAATCTAAATCAAAATACCATTAATATACCTCACACAACTAGAGAAAACATGCCTAAAATTCATCTGGAAGCAGAACAGACCTAAAATAGCAAAGGCAATGTTGGGCAAAAAAGGCAAGGCAGGAGGTATCACAGTCCCTAACTTGAAATTATATTACAAAGCTGTTGTGATAAAATCAGCATGGTACTGGCCAAACAAACAAACAAGCAAAAAAAACCCCAGGTCTGAGAATCAGTGGAACAGATTAGAAGAGGTAGACACAACTACAGACACACTGAGCTACCTTATCTTTGACAAAGGGGCCAAACATGTTCACTGGAAGAAAGACAGCCTCTTTAATAAATGGTGCTGGAAAACTTAGCTTTTTTCATGCCAAAGAAGAAAACTAGATCCATGTCTATCACCATGCACTAAATTAAGGTCAAAATTGATCAAAGAATTAAATATTAAAAGAAAAACACTAAATCTATTAGAAGAAAAATTAGGTAGAAATCTTGAAGACATAGGTGTAGGGAGAGAGTTCATGAACAAAACCGAGACTACATGGGAAACACTTCAAAGAATCAACAACTGAGATCTCATGTTATTAAAAAAGCTTTTTGGGCAAAAGGAATCACCAAACAAAGTGAAGAAACAGCCCACAGAGTGGGAAAAAATTTCAGCCAATTGTCCCTCAGACCAAGGACTTCTATCTAGAGCACATAAAGCACTGAAAAATATCAGATCCCTCAAATTCAAAGACTAAACCCCAAAATCAGCATCTGAGATGAATACACACTTCTCAGATGAAGAAATACAGATGGCAAATAAATGCATGAAAAATATTCAGCAGCACTGGTCATTTGAGGTATGCAAATTAAAACAACACTGAGATTCCATCTCACTACAGAAAGAATGGTCATTGTTAAGAAATCAACCAATAACAAATGCTGGAGGGGCTATGGGGAAAAAGGAATCATTCTTCACCATTGATGGGAGCATGGAAATCAGCGTGGAGATTCCTCAAAAAATTAGGATTAGAGGTCTCATTCAACCCAGTTATCCCCTTCTGGGTGTCTTCCCAGAAGAATAAAAAACATCATACCAGAGCAGTATATGTGTATAATGTTTATAGCAGCACAACTTGTAATAGCTAAATCTTGGAAACAATCCAAATACCCATCAACTGAGAAATGAATAAAAAAGATGTGATCTTGTTATACAATGGAATACTACTCAGCTATAAAGAAGGATAAACTTGAGACTTTTATACATAAATGGATTTGAGACCATACTCATTAGTGAAATAAACCAGACATACACGTGTAAACATTGTATTGTCTCCTTGGTGTGAGAAACTGAAAGAGTAAATAAGTTCTAAAATGTACAATAGATATTGTGTAATGGGAAGAAATTGTTCAAAAGGAAAAGCAACTAGGATGGGTGAAAGGGGGAAGAACAGTAGGGAAAAGAGAAAAAATGCAAGTCAGATATACTATTAGTGTCTCTTAGTTCATTAAAAAGCAAGTTTTGTGCTAATATCGATTGGAGAATTTTTTATGCCCATATCTTATGCCTTGAACAGCTACTTTAAAGATAACAACATGTAATGTACTAACTACTGTTATTCTCCTATCATTTTGTTATGAAATTTTGTTTTACTTTTTTTCTATAAAATAAAAGAATAAAAAAAGTGTTTGTTGCTTTAAGCTGTGAACATTTGGGGTAATATGTATACAGTAATAGATAATTAAAACAATTCTTATTTATCCTATTACTTCCCAGGAACCTGCCTCCTATATTTACTTCTAAAGAAGGTGTTCCCCAATGACATTAATGATAATAGTCTAGTGTCCCCTGTAAGTTTACAGGAACTTTTTACACTAGAATAAAGTTGGTCGGGGTCCCCGAGGCTAATGCAAGTAGAAATATTATCAACTTTCCCCTTTCAGGAAACTTGCTCTTCTGAAGCCTTTCATTTAAGTTTTAGGTAACATTTTAAAAAGTTTATGAATCTTGTTAACAGATTAATTGGTTTTAACTTCCTTACCAGTTTTAATGGTGTATATCAGGTGAGGATCAAGATTAGAAACTAGCTCCCCTCATCCCCAAACATATTTATTTTCTTCTTCATTGGCTCTTAAACTTTTGTTCTTACAGAAAAAAATAATACTCATGAGTATACACTAAGAAAAAGATGTATTCCTATGCCTATATAAAGATTTCAAGAATTATCCATTTCAAAGGCTGAGATCTACATGATAAATACAATTATGTGTACATATAGTACATACATAACAAGCATATACTACAGTGTTTTTAATCTTTGTTCTAAATAAAATGAATGGAAATAATTTCATGCTTCTGGAATGTTGGCTGTGCCACTTCCAAATAGCTCTTCTACTTTTCCAGGGTTGGCTGAATCCATTACTTACGGTACTTTTTTGTGGGCATCCAGAGTTTTCTGTCCTCATTTTCTATGTTCCTCACTATACCTCTCATGAGTGTAAGTTGTACCTATTTTAATTCTGAATGCTTCTACTCTGGGTTTAGTCATTTTCTCTAGGCTACAATAAATAAGTGTAATGTTACTGAATTTCTCTGTTTACCAATTCACAGATCCATCCTCCAAAAAGAGACTCCTCGGGGGCTGGGGATTTAGCTCAGCGGCAGAAGCGCCTGCCTGGCAAGCGCAAGGTCGTGAGTTCGGTTCCCGGTACCGGAGAAAAACCAAAAAAAAAAAAACAAAAAAAAAAAAAAAAAAAAAAAAAAAAACAAAAAGAGACTCCTCTCTGCTTTTGCCTAAATGGGATAATATGTGTAAAAAGGTCAAGGTGTCAGAAAGCCTGGAATACATTAGATGCTCAATGCTAGTCAATACTATATTTTTATTTTGAGTCTTAAATAATCTGTTTGATTCATTAATAGTTCTTGTCTCTTTCAAAAAATCATCAGCTATCTGGACCAGCCAGAGCAGTTCTTCTAGAGTTCTACATATAAATGTATTACTTATGAATTTTATGAAAAGGTCTGAATTCTGTAGTGGGGAGTGATGGGGTTGGTTGAACTTGAGAATCTTCTTTTCTTTTCTTTTTTGGTTTTCTTTCCAGTACCATGACCTTGCGCTTGCCAGGCAGGCGCTGTGCAGCTGAGCTAAATCCCCAGCCCCCGAGAATTTTCTTTTCTGATAAGCTTTCGAAAGATGTCAATTCTACTGGTCCAAGATGAACACTTTAAGCAGAAAGGATCTAGAAGATCTTGGAAACACAATGAGAAATCCAAATACATGAAGTGAAGCCCAGATGTAAAAAATATAAAATACATAATTTTTCAGAAGTACTTAGCTGATATTTACTTAGCATATGTGATATTTTACAAACATTCCTTCAAAACAGAAAATCGTAGGAAATAGGGCTCCAGTCGTGTGTAGTATCACCTCCAAAACAGATGGAGATTTCAAGCAACACACACATTTACACTCAGAATAAGGACATTTTAATAGCAAAAGGCAGAATTATTTCTGGGAAATTGAAACTTAAAGTAGACGTTTGTCTTTATAAGACAATCTCTGCATTCTGCCGTGGTTAGAAATAATTAAGTTTCTTGTCATGGCTTCAATAAGAAGGAGAAAGTTACACTGTCTTTGCTTCAAGCCCATGACAACCACACGGAGACAACTCGGTTTGATTTTAACATGTCTTTCATTTCTGCCTGTACTAAATGCCTTACTCAGCAGTTTGTGCAGACAGCGGGGCTGCTGCTCCAAGTCCCGGATGATGGTCTGTTTGCTTGAAAGGGACTTTGTCAGAAATGCTCGTGAGTGTTTTGATAAATAAATAATTTTTTAAAACTTGATAAAGAACCTTCATGGTAAAAGTATCTTTTATAGTGAATGACATGCCAGGATAAATAATACGAAGGCTATATAAAAAAGCCTCCTAGCAATGTAAGATGCAAAGATATGGGACTCTTGTCTAGTAAGCGATAACTCATATTCCACGCCT